AGGAAGGTTCTCGATCTATCTCTCCTTGGAGCCCCCGCCCCCTAATTCCGGCCATCACCACCATCATCATCATTGACCATCACCTCCAGTTTCGATCTCCATCTCTAGCAGCTATAGGTTTCTTCATCCATCTTGCTCCAGCACTGGAAATCCATCTCCAAATCTACTTGTCTCTGCCCCGTAGCAGCTACAGGCCACAGATCTGGGGGTTTTTGAAGAGTGGAGAAAAGAGAGAATTTCTCTCTCTAACGGAAGAGAAAGAAGTAGAGAAAGAAAGTTGGGTATGGTTAATGAGATATTACTATTTATATTGCCAAATTGTTGGCAAAATTACAAAAATTGTCACCGTTTTAAGAAAAAAATCATTAAAAATATTCTAAAATTGAAAAAAAAAAATTTTGGACTACCAATAAATTCAGTAATTTGGAGGCCCATACGGTAAATATGATAATGACCTCCAATACTAATCTCGTACCACAAGTCTAAATGGTATTGTCATATTACCATTTAAACCTACCATATGATAATCCCCTGTATCATTTTCGTTGATAATGGGACAGTACAATAGTAATTACGACATTTATGGTATAGTGCCCAGCCCTAGTTGAGTGGTAGGGAACCGCTTGCCACCACTTGACATGCACACAGTCGCTTGTTAATCAAGTCAAACACTACAGCTACATTTCAAAGGACAATGGTCAAAACGACGTAGTTTTTGTTTTTTGGGCAAATATTTTTTACCTAGCTGGGCTTTGTTCAAAAAGTCGAGTGGTCATTGTTCGGGCCATGTTTTGGTCCAATGTTACTTCAACTTGTGCTCTGTTCTATTTTGAAAAAGAACCATGCAAGAGAGCTCCTATTGGAGATGCTCTTAAGTTCACTTTTTGTTAATTGGACTGACGTGGCAAGTTAAGTTTTAAAAGGTCAATGTACATTTTTATAGGAAAATAATTGAGGGATAACCTTTTTATAAAAATTCTTTTATATAACTTTATATCGTACTTAATATTTGATTCTCTTCACTTTATTTGAACTTTTGATAATATATGTATTGACCATTTAGTTAATGATATATAAAAATTATATAAAAAATAATCCACGTATCAATTACCTCTTTCATATTAAATGGAATTTATTTTGTTAATGTGGTAATTTTTACACTAAAATAATTTTAAAATATAATAAAATGATGAGGAGAGGGCTCTTTTTAAGAAAAAAAAAAAAAAAAAGAAGTTAGAAATGTTACCTTTTTTGGGAGTTTCTATATAGATTTTCTTAATGTATCTCTTCAAGTTTTGCTTATGATGGAAATGAAAGATGACATGGAATTGAGATTGGATTAAATTGAATCAATTATAACACTTAAGTCAATTATTAATAACATATTCAAGAATTAAGGTTCTTAACTAATTGTTTCACCCAAAAGACCCGTTAGTTGTACAACAATTAGAACAACATGCTTCACTTTTAGTATCCAAGTTGTTAATAAGAGAAAACCCCTTCCTTCTTCTAATTTTTTATTATCTAAATGAGGACATTTATTCCCTCCCTCCTCTCCTATCCTCTTAAACCAAACAAATTATTAAAGTTAAAATTTAGTCAATACTTGTTATGGGATAATTTATAAATAACTGTAAGATTATTCAAGAGAAAAACTCAAATCTCCGTATATTTAAGAAAATTATCAATAACAACATAGTATATACATAAATAGGGAGTGCAAAGGTGCATCTGCGAATTATAATACTATGACAGCAATAAGTAACAAATCGAAAGTACAAAACCAGCAAGCTAAGAAAAAACACCCATCCCAACCGTGCAGCAACCCAAACAGAGAAAAACTGTGCAGTGCAGATAAGTTTAGTAGGGCTGTCTTGGGGATAAAATCCACAATTCAGAGAAAGCCCACGTTTAATTCTTGCCTTTATACGGTAAAACCACCTGAGTTTGATAACACCAAAATACCTTGCTTTGGCACTTAATTTGTCTTTGAATGAACAAAACTCCCTTGAAGTGGCAGTTGTTTTCCGTTCCATTTGTTTGCACTGTCGTTTTTTAGAAGATTCTATACAAAGAATGAATAAGGCTTTTCCCTGTCAAAAAAATGAATAAGGCTTTTCACAGGGAAAAAAAAAAAGTCAAATCAGAATTCTTCTACTTTAATTGCATCGCGAGGCATTTCATACGCATCTTTGGCTCTCGATTTCTTTACCCCGGCGGTGAACCACACCTTATCAGACTTGTAGCTCTCCACGGCGACTCCGGTAACCTTAACCCACACAATGACCTTCGTCTTCATTCCATCGATTCCACTCAGCTTTCCCCTCGACAGCGTGCATTTAACGCGACTCGCCTATCTCACCACCGACGAGTCCTTGAAGCTCACCTCGCAGGGAGAAGGCAAGTACACGATCAGCTTAGATCTGGATTCATCGAATTCGTAGCACGTTAAATTCCGAGGGAAGAGTCCTGGAGGAAGGCCGTAATCTCGGAGGAGATCCGGTAAGGCCTTCTGCGGCTTGCCTTTTATTTTGTTGAGTATCCAATTTGCCTTGCCTTCGACAGTTTTTGAAAAAGACTGGAAATCACGAACAGAAATAGAATGAACAATCGAAACAGAGACAGATTAAAAAGGAAAC